GTAGGAAGGAAGCAGGTAAGTTTGGTATGTCAGAATCTTAGAAAAGAGTATTTCCAGAATGGAGGAGTGGTCATTCTATCAAATGTAGTTAAAAGGTTATTAATGAGAGCAGATAATTAATTATCAGATTTGGCAAGATATAGATTATTGGAAAGTTTGATAAGAGCAGTTAAGTGAAGTGTTAGGGGAAAAATTCTAATTATAGTTGTTGCTATGGGTTGCATGTGTCCCCCAAAAGTTCATATATTGGAAGTTTAATCCCCACTATAACAGTGTTAAGACGATGGGAAATCCTATTACGATAATTGAAAGGAGGGGCTTTTAAGAGGTGATTAGATTGTGAATAGATTGATCCATTCATGCAGTAGGGCATCGTTCTGATAGCTTTAAAAGGAGGACTGTTGAGCAGATTAGCTCTCCCTTGCTCAGCCCCTTCATACCATTTGATACCCTGGTTACCATGGGACTCTGTAGAGTTGCCACTGACAAGAAGGCCCTGACCAGATGTATTCCCTGGACCTTGGGTTTCCCAGCTTCCAAACTGTAGGAAATAAATTTTATTTCTTTATAAATCACTCAGTTTCAGGTATTCTGTTACAACAGAAATGGACTAATACAGTTATTTTGCAATGAAATTCCAAGACAGGAAGTAGAATTGTTGAGAAGAACATGAAATCAAGATGCATGTGTCCCCCAAAAGTTCATATATTGGAAGTTTAATCCCCACTATAACAGTGTTAAGATGATGGGAAATCCTATTACGATAATTGAAAGGAGGGGCTTTTAAGAGGTGATTAGATTGTGAATAGATTGATCCATTCATGCAGTAGGGCATCGTTCTGATAGCTTTAAAAGGAGGACTGTTGAGCAGATTAGCTCTCCCTTGCTCAGCCCCTTCATACCATTTGATACCCTGGTTACCATGGGACTCTGTAGAGTTGCCACTGAGAAGAAGGCCCTGACCAGATGTATTCCCTGGACCTTGGGTTTCCCAGCTTCCAAACTGTAGGAAATAAATTTTGTTTCTTTATAAATCACTCAGTTTCAGGTATTCTGTTACAACAGAAATGGACTAATACAGTTATTTTGCAATAAAATTCCAAGACAGGAAGTAGAATTGTTGAGAAGAACATGAAATCAAGGGAGAGTTTCTTATAATTTTCATAAAGAATAGTGACATTCAGCATGTTTGTTTGCTGTTAGAATTGTTCCAGTAAAGAACAAAACATTAATGGTTCAAGAGCGAAAGTAATTAATTGCAAGAACAAAGTCTTTGAAAGGGTTTGCACATCTATCAAAGGAATGGTTTTATCTAGGAGCTGAGCCACCTTTTCCCCTGTGACAAAAAGAAAGTTGGAGTGTGTGGATTTATTTTATTTATTTATTGTAGCTTAGTTGATTGTACGTTTCTGTGGGATACAGCGTTAAATATCAATACCTGTGTACTATACATGATGTTCAAATCAGGATAATTAGTATATTCAACAATATACAATGTAACTGTGGCCCTTTACCAATTCCTCCCTTAGCCCCCTTTCCCCTCCCCCCTTTCCCACTTCTGGTAAGCCCATTCTGTTCTCTCCTTTTGAAATTTCAACATATTATTGTGATTGGTTTATTTGTCTTTCTTTCTTCTTTTTCTTAAAAAGTTATTTGTTTATTTTTTAGCTCCCCCTTATGAGTGAGGACATGCAGTATTTGTCTTTCTCTTCCTGGCTTATTTCACTTTACAAAATTTTCTCTAAGTTCATCCATGTTGCTGCAAATGGCAGTATTTCATTCTTTTTATGGAACAGTAGTATTCCATTGTGTAAATATACCACATTTTCCTCATCCAGTTGTCTGATGATGGAGATTTAAGTTGGTTCCAACTCTTGACTACTGTAAATAGAGCTGCAATAAACATGGGAGTATAGGTGTCCCCTCATCATGATGATTTCCACTCCTTTGGGTATATACCCAGAAGTGGAATTGCTGGATTGTTTGGCAGTTCTATCCATAGTTGTTTGAAGAAACTCCATGCCATTTTCCATAATGGCTGCACTAATTTAAAATCCCACTAACAGTGCAGGAGAGTTCCCCTTTCTCCACATCCTTGCCAGCATTTGTGGTTCTCCATCTTTTTGATAATAGCCAGTCTAACTGATTGTCACCTCTCCCAGGGTGATGGAGATGCAAAGGATTACTCAAAGCCCATTTCTTCTGAGCAGTGAGAGGCCCCAAAGGGGTTAATTTCCAGGAACCCTCAAGAAAGCAGCATTCCTCGGAAAAATAACCCCAAACTAGGGTTTTCTCTCAGTATTTATTCTCCAGGCAGGAAAGTTACAGAAAAGGAACATGTGTGGTTACAAAAAGAATATTAAAATAATTGTCATGGCAACAATCATTAGGTTTAGCTGCACCAAGGACATCTGCCCTTAGAGCCAGCAAGTTCACTGTGTTACAATTCTTTATCTACAACAGAGACTTTAGCCTGGGGAAAGTTTTCTGTCTTTTGCAAGCTTAACATTTCTATATGTAATTCTAAAAAGTTAGGCCTTGTAAAATGTATGTGCTTTATTAATGTTAGTACCCTCCACAACTGGTGTGGGATGTATCTCAATGCAGTTTTTATTTGCATTTCCTTGATGATGAGTGATGTTCAGCATTTTTTTCATGTACCTGTGACAATTTGTATCTCTTCCTTTGAGAAATGTCTCTTCAGCTCTTTTGCCCATTTTTAAAATTGGGTTACTTGGTTTTTTACTGTTAAGCTCTGAGTTCCTTGTATATTCTGGATATCAATCCCTTGTCAGATGCATAGTTTGCAAATATTTTCTCCCACTCAGTAGGTTGTTGCTTTGCTGGGTTAAATATTTCTTTTGCTGTGCAGTAGCTTTTTAGTTTGATATAATCCCATTTGTTTATTTTTTTCTTTTGCTGCCTGTGCTTTGGGGATCATATTCATAAAGTCTTTGCCCATTCCTACTTCCTGAAGATATTTTTATAGTTGCAGGTCTTACATTTAACTATTTAATGCATTTTGAGTTTATTTTGGTGTATGGTGAGAGGTAAAGGTCTAGTTTCATTCTCCTACGTGCAGATATCCAGTTTTCCCAGCACCATTTATCAAAGAAGCAGTCTATTCCCAAATGAATGTTCTTGGTGCCTTTCATTAGAGACTATTATAAACAACGATACACCAACAAATTTGAAAGTCTGGAGGAAATGGATGAATTTCTGGACACATACAAACTACCTAGACTAAACCAAGAAGAAACAGAAAACCTGAACAGACCAGTAAGCAATGAGATTGAAGAAGTAATCAGCATCTCCCAACAAAGAAAATCACAAGACCAGATGGCTTTACTGCTGAATTTTACCAAACCACTAAAGAGGAATTAATACTAATTCTCTTCAAACTATTCCAAAAAATTGAAACAGAGGCCCTTCTGCCAGACTCATTCTATGAAGCCAGCATCACCCTGATACCAAAACCAAAGATGATACAACAACAACAAAAAGAAAACTACAGGCCAGCATCTCTGGTGAACATAGACGCAAAAATCCTTAATATAATATTAGTAAATAGAATGCAGCAACACATGTGGATTTAGATGTAGGTGACTGATGGATTTTGTGGTGGAAAGATGATATATACTTGAAGAGATTTCAATTGAGAGTGGTGGGAGCAGGGTTGTTTCAGAGAATTGTAGAAAGAGAATATGTCAAATAATCATTCTGGAGTTTGGGAAAGTAAAGTATTAGGGAATGTTGTGGAATCATCTGCCAATATCCAGTGCCCATTTGGGTATTTTGTTACCAAGTTTAATATCAGTCAAGTTAGCTTGGTTGGGGAATATTCCCCAATGATATTTAGGTACTCATGTACAGACATAAATAAAACAAATGTTGGATTTACATAGGGCCTGGATTTTGCCAGGTAGAGCAATAAGGGTCAAAATAATTAACAGGGTTTACAAGAAGGTGGTAATTATCATTCTGGACGGTGAAATTTATTGTTGTTAAGGTGGGAAGGAAGAGCACAAATTAGGCTATAGGTAACGAAAAACAACTTGGAGGGATAATAGATATTTTTCATGTAGGTATCTTTATTTCAGATTTAAAATTTAGTCAGAAAACATGCTGAACATGTATCACATGCCAGGCATTGTGTTAGGGGCTGAAGTTACTAATAGGAATAAGAGACACAGTGGCTTCAATTATACTACACTTAGGGCATCAGAACTTATTAGGGGAGACAACTTGATGTACAACAGGGCTGGGGGAGGGGCTCAGAGACAACTTCACAGAGGTGGGTATGCTCGAGCTGAGTGTTAGAAGGTGAATGCTAGTTTACCAGGTAGAAAAGGCAGAAGGGATATTTCAAGATGAGCGACTGTCCCACAC